AAAGTGTCCCCTGTGTACCTCTCTGTCTCGCTTAGCTCCTCTAGTACATCCACTCTGGTCTCCAGAGCCCGTACTTGGTCTCTGAAGGCCAGGAGCTCCTTGTCCTGAATGCACAAATACGCCACCTGCCCTCAAGTCAGGTAATCATGCATTCAGTGCAATCAACTGGATAGTCTCCGCTTTGCTGCTGGACTTCTGCCTGCTTTCTTTTTACTCCTGCAGCTTTTTTGGGGTGGGGGGTTGTTTATTAGCCTCAGGTTAGAGAATGTTAGGTGTGTCTCTGGCTCTCATGCTGCCTTTCTCAACTCCCTCGCAAAAATTCCATTAGCTGCTTCTGTTTGCTAGCTCCTCTGCTCACTTAGGAGCTGGCTTTTTAAACCTCCTGCTCTTCCTGAGTAGCCCTGCCTCCTGGTTAAAGGATCCTTGCACAGATATTAAGAGGGGGTGGAAACACTCAACACAAGCTACTACAGTAGAGTTAAGGCAGTTTAGCGTAGGGCTCATCTATCTGGAGAAGCTATTGTGGGAAAAGCTGGGGTGTGAATTTAAAGTGCAATGGCTATTGTGCACGAACCCACATGTGGACATTTTTATTCCACATCAAGGGTGTGTGTCTACCGTGAAGCTGGAGGCATAATTTCCAGCTCGGGTAGACATACACACACTAATTTTGACCAAGCTAGTGCACGCTCAGAAGAGTGGGCAGAAAGGTGGGGGAAGACGCCAGAAGGGAGTGGGGCTTTGGGGGAAGGGGTGGAGTGGGGGCAGGAAGAGGTGGGGTGGGGGCTTGGGGAAAGGGGTGGGGTGGAGCGGGGCTGGGGCCTGGGGCTGAACGGTTGAGCACCCCTGGGGAAAATTAGAAGCCAGCGCCTGTGCCAAAGGTTGCATCCAATAGGGACCTGTCTCTCCCTAACTCTAACACTTTGGCTCTCCAGCATGTCAGATCCCCCAGAAAGCTCCCTGCTGAGGAGTTCTGGTTTGGCCGTGGGTCGCATCTCTCTGGGTCGCATCTCTCCAGCTGCGCTGCTAGGCCCATCTGGCTCTAAATGATGTGTTTGCAGTGGTGGTCCAAGGACGTTAGAGAGACCAGGCTTGGAAGGTAGTATCTTTTACTGGACCAACTCCTGTTGGTGGAAGGGACAAGCTTTCGAAAGGTGGGGGGTTACTCTCCCCCCACCTTGTCTCTCTAAAATAGGGGCCTGCGCTCCCTGGAGTGTTGAAATTCGCACTCTGATTATCCTGGTTGCAACACCCAGCCCCCTTGACTGTGCTGTCCCTGTCTCTGGGGTCTGTTGGGATCCTGATGCTTTTGCCATATATATTTTTATTGTAAAGGCTTGACTCGTTCAGCAGCTGGACTCTTGTTCCCCAAGTGACTTTAGTGCTGCTGAAGGGTTGGATTGACAGCCAGAGGGACTGGAGTCTTGTTGTGATGTTGCACTCCATATGCGATATAAAAATATGTTTATAAGTGTGAATATGATGGAACTGGAATCTGCTTTATGCAAACGGTCTCTTGTAAGGTATCATTACAAAGCTTATAATCTACTGAGTGTGTTCATCCTATTTGTATGAATGTAGCATTATTGTATCTGAAACTAGAATATGAAGTTTCAGAGTAACAGCCATGTTAGTCTGTATTCGCAAAAAGAAAAGGAGTACTTGTGGCACCTTAGAGACTAACCAATTTATTTGAGCATGAGCTGTAGCTCACGAAAGCTCATGCTCAAATAAATTGGTTAGTCTCTAAGGTGCCACAAGTACTCCTTTTCTTTTTGTAGAATATGAAGTGTAACTCTGAGGTCCTATTGTAATTATGCAAAGTGTGGGCCATTAATGGTGGTTTAGAATCTTGATGGCTCCCATTGACTAGGACAGTTGACTGTAAATGGTTCTGTTTACCTGCAAGCCCTGCCTGTGTACATGTAGGCCAGCCCCTGGGTAAGGAAAAATGCGGTCTTACAGTGACATATGACTATGTCACCTGATACTGGAATCCATCTTAAACCTGGTGCTTTTCCATTTAGAACGAGGGGTTGGGATCCAGAGAGACAAAGGATTCCCGCCTTGTGCCAAAGCTATAAAAGGGGGTGGAGCAGGACAAAGGGGGTCCCAGTCATGGGAGAGCCTCTGCTTTTCACCTAAGATGTTAGTTCCAGCAGGCAAGAACTGTACCGGGGAAAGGATTGGGCCCAGACTAAGAAGGAGGATAGTCTGTGAAAGAAGCTTATTGGAATATCTCTGAGGGTAAGATATTATCTGTAATCAGTTTCTTAATGTATTAGGCTTAGACTTGCGTGTTTTGTTTTATTTTGCTTGGTAACTTACTTTGTTCTGTCTGTTATTACTTCGAACCACTTAAATCCTACTTTTTATACTTAATAAAATCACTTTTGATTATTAATAAACCCAGAGTAAGAGATTAATGCCTGTTGGAGCAAACCGCTGTGCATATCTCTCTATCAGTGTTATAGAGGGCGGACAATTTATGAGTTTACCCTGTATAAGCTTTATACAGAGTAAAATGGATTTATTTGGTTTCAGAGTAGCAGCCATGTTAGTCTGTATTCGCAAAAAGAAAAGGAGTACTAGTGGCACCTTAGAGACTAACCAATTTACTTGAGCATGAGCTTTCGTGAGCTACAGCTCACTTCATCGGATCAAAATCGATGAAGTGAGCTGTAGCTCACAAAGCTTATGCTCAAATAAATTGGTTAGTCTCTAAGGTGCCACTAGTACTCCTTTTCTTTTTGGATTTATTTGGGGTTTGGATCCCATTGGGAGCTGGGTGTCTGGGTGCTGGAGACAGGTAACCTGCTGAGCAGCTTTTAGTTAAAGTCTGCAGCTTTGTGGGCATGAACCAGACCTGGGTCTGTGTTGCAGCAGGCTAGCGTGCCTGGCTCAAGGCAGGGTTCTGGAGTTCCAAGCTGACAGTGAAAACGGGCTCAGAGGTAAATTAAGCACATCAGGTGGCAGTCCCAAGGGGGTCTCTGTGACCAAACCCATCACAGTGACATAGTCGAGCAGGGTCTGTGCCCAGCTGATTGTTTTGATACACTGGTAGTGATTTTAAGTGAGTTTTAAGTGTGGTGGCTGGAGAACATACAAAGTGGTTACGGGTTTGTTATTTTCTGTTTGCTTATTTCGGGGAAAGGGAAGTAGGAACAGGAAAATGAGTGAAAGCAGTGAAGCGATGGCGAAGTTGGAGCTTTTTAGGCTGCAAGTTGTAGAAAAGGAGAGGGAGCACCAGAGATTATTGCAACTGAAAGAACGGGAGATAAAAGAAAAAGAAGAGTCAGCCAGAGAGGAGGCTGCACACAGAAGGGCTATGGAGGCAGAGGCAGCCAGGGAGAAAGCTGCACACCAGCAAGTCCTGGAACTCAGGCAGCTGGAGGCTGACGAAAAAAGGCAGGATAAGAAGTGAGAGAGGCAGCAAGCCCTGGAGTTAAGACAAAGAAATTGAGGCCCAGATTGCAACTCAGAAGCATGAACTGGCTGTAATGGAGTGGAAGAGACAAAATCCTTCAGCAACTGGCTCCATTTCCCCAAAAATTCACAAATGGGAACGGTTATACCCACAGTATAATGAATCCAATGATATTGCTGAATATTTCATCACCTTTGAGAAACTGTGCACTCTCCTTGCGATTCCTGAAGATCAAAAAATGACCACTTTGGTTGCAAAATTGACTGGGAGAGCTTTGGACATATTCAGTAAGATGCCTATTGATGATGCTTCAAACTGTGGTAAATTTAAGGAATTGGTTTTGAAACAGTTCCAGACTACACCTGAAACCTCTGCCAAGATCCTGGCTCCTCAGCTGCACAACAGGCCAACCATGGTCCCCATGCGGTGCTAACTAGGTTAGGCTTTTTGGATGCTCATGAGAAATGGCTTTGGGCCTGTCCGTCTGCTCCCCCCTCCATCTTGGCTATCATGACTAAGTGACTCTCTTGTGGGGTGGGTGTAGCTTTAGTGGGGGAAGCCCGTGGCTCCCGGTCAGCAGTGAACTCTACCCTTTAGCCCTGGATCTGGGCTGAGTCACCAGCAGGGGTTGGGCAAGGGACACCTTCACTTGGAATCTGAATAGTGAGAAGTCACTGGTCTCTCTCTCTTTGACTGCTGTGAGCTATGGAATTAAACCCCTCTCTTATCAGAGTCCCTTGTCAGGTAGTTCTGTCTGTTGTGTGGGTGGTATTCCAGAAAACCCGCCGCAGGACCCAGGCTTCTGGGAGGGCCGTCCTGCGAGTGGTGGTTGGGTCACTCAGCTGCGCTCTTTTGTGACTGTGTTGCACGCTGTTTTATAAGACTGGGTGTGGTTCCCCCTCTTTGGGTGTTGCTTAAAATGTCTGAGGGACGACTCTGAAGCTGGCTGTTTTATGGCCCTCGATACCATAGTATCTGAGCACTGTGCATTTATCCACCAACTCCTGTGAGGCAGGGCACTTCCCCACAGGCCACCCAACAGCCCGGGAAGGCTGCAGCCATCTAGTGCTGCCGTGTGTTTCTAGTCCCATGGGAACGAGGGTGCCACTGACAGGGCCTCAGTTTGACTTCTGTCAAAAGGAAGGATGGCCCAATGGTTTGGCTGCTAGTCTGGGACTCGGGAGACCTGGGCTCACGTGCTGGCTCTGCAACAGACTTTCTGTGTGTCCTTAGTCACTTGGTCTCTCTGTGCCTCAGTTCCCCATGTGTACAATGGGGTAATAGCACTCCCAGGGGTTTATAAATCCATTGAAGACCTCAAGGCACTAGGGAGCTGTAAACTAGCTCAGCTACGTGTCAGTGTGAAAGGAGCATTCCCTGCCGCTGCCCATGCTGGGCCAAGATGAACAGAGTCCTCCAGGCTTGGCATCCACCTTATTTTAAAAAAAAAAACACTTCATCTCTGGGTGCCTTTAAAACCCAACCCTGGCCCGCCGCTTCAGCGTCGGAAAACAATGCTCTTTTGGCCTAGCCCCAACAGCTGCAGTGATGATATTCGTCTCTCTCTCCCCAGACGGCGAGCTAGTTCACTACCGTTACGGGCTAAAGGACTTGATCACCATCCTCTTCTATGTCTTCATAGCAATCATCCTGCATATGGTGTTGCAGGACTACGTCCTGGATGTAAGTTCTGCTTCTGTTCTGAGGTAAAATTCCTGGAGGGCCTCTTGTTAAAGAGCCCGCAGGCCTCTATGTTGACTCTTAGTGGCCACAGCTGGCCTCTGCATGCTGGCTGGCCTTTCTGTGCTGGTTGGTTTGATCGGGCCGGGGGGTCTCTCTAGCCTGACATGGTGGCAGGTGAGCTCTCACTTCAGGGGCAGGCGGGAGTGACTGGTGTTTGGGAGTGAGGAAGGTGAATTGCCGGCATTGTGGCTTATGCCCTTTTATTATTTTTCCTCTAGAAAATCAACAGGCGGCTCCATCTCTCCAAAGTCAAACACAGCAAGTTCAACGAATCGGGGCAGCTGGTGGCTTTCCATCTCACCTCCATGATCTGGTGCTTGTATGTAGTGGTCACGGTAAGCTATGGCAGAGGGCCCAGCAGAGACTCGGCATGGTCCATTTCAGGTTTCCCTTTACAGAGATTGGGCCTAGACTGAGGGAGTCTGCAGCAGATTCCTGCTCACATGGGTCCTTTAGCATTCCCTCTGCTGGGTGTTTTCTGTGCGTGTTGGTTTGAGGCAGTTCTTGCCCATGCTCTCATCGGTAGGAATCCCTCCAAAGTTACTTACTGTGAGGGGTGAGGGAGTCTCGAGAGAGCAGACGACTGGACTCCAGAGCAGCATGTACAGTGGGGCTCCGTGTACTGCTTGGCGAGCTGGACTGAGTCTCTGTCAGAGTTAGGGGATTGCATGGCAGACAGAAAATTCGGTGTCCCTTTCACTGAGCTAAAAACAGGGGTTTGAATGAGCTCAGTTTGAGAGTGAACCATGCAGTCAGCATGGCAGCCACTGTGCTGTTCGTTTTAATATTACATTTAATTGATTTGAAGCTATCTCCAGACTTCAAATTGTCAATGTGACACCGACTCTGTATTGACAAGGCGTAATAATGATAATAAATACCTGTCTTTTATAGAGCACTTTTTATGACTAGCTCACAAAGCGCACAATGAAGCCGCATTGTAGAAGTTGTCATAGGGAGCACGGGAGGATCTTGGCACCTCGGGGAGGGGTAGAAGACAGTTTGGAACCAGCCCATGGAATGAGCACATTAGCTGGGTGTTTCTGCAAAAACTGTCAACAGTGAGACAGCAGTGCAGCAATTTAAACGGTCATTTCAGGATTCAGACTCTCCACACACACAGACAGACACACACACACACAACAATTAACCCCTCTAAGCTGTTGTTTCAGGCTGCTGGCAGATTCAGGCAGACGTCACCATGTTAGTTTACACTTGGTTCGTGTTTTCAGGGTTTTCTTTGCAAGCGTGAAGGATACAAACAGAGGGTAAAATTCTGGTCCCACTAAATCTGGGGGAAGTTTTGCCGCTGACTATAATGGCACCAGGGTTTCATCTGTCCTATGTTGTGGGGAAAGATTCTGGAGCACATTTCTCTGACAAGGGGAGGATTCTCAGGCAAAACTCCTGACCATGGAATTGCATTGTATCCTGGGCCCTGCTTTACAATCCCTTGGCAGCCTGCTCTCTCCCCCTCTCTGGGAAGCCTGTTGTTCTGGCTTTCTGCTATGTGAGGCCCCTTTATTCAAGACGAGAAAGCTGGAAATGTTCAACCAATGGTGCCATCTGATCGACTGGAGTCAACACACAGTACTGTATAGTCCACAAAGCTGCTGCAAGGAGGAGCTGCGGGTGGGGCTGGCTGTGTGCATTTTAGCAAGAGCAGATCTCTTAACCCAGGTTACCAAAGCCCTTGGAATGAGCAGAGAGAAGGGGATAAACTCTGCTAAACACAGTTAAGGTCTCTGAACTCCAAGTGTCTTACTGCCAATTGCTCTTCCGCTCACATTCTGATTCCAAGCTGGGGGAGCAGCGTAGCATAAAAGCCTAGAGATGCCAGGAGACTTTAATATGCATGAAAATGTAAACTGACTTTCCATTGGATTTGGGGGCAGGGGGCCTAGATAGGGCAGAGGCATTGTGCAAACATTCTGTAAAATGTGGGTTTAAAGCATGAGCCAGTGTCCCCCATTCCCCCCCAAATCCCAACCGAAACCTACGTAATTTCAGCTTTAATGTCACAGAACATAAATGCAGTAGACAAAAGTCAGGCAATGCAAAAGTTAAGGATCCTCCTGGCAAGGCTAACTCAGCCATTTGTGTGTGGAGGGGAGGTGTTTTTGGATTGCTCTTAAATACGTGGATTAATACATGTCCCATACAAAAGGCTTCATCCAAAGAACAGAAAGGGTGCTAGCAGTTACTAAAGAGTTACCACTTAACCAGCTGTATTAAGCCTCTCATATCCCCCAGTGTCAGGAATGCCCCAGTATGTGGTATCCAGCCAGTGCTGGATAGTAACTGACTATCACTGTCGCAAATTACATGTGACTCCAGTAAATAACCCTAAACTCCATCTACAGCATCTGCCCTAGCACCCATGTCCTTCCCAGCAGGCTGGCAGCTGCATGCTGCCTCAGGCCCCAACTCCTCCTCCAGCACAGCTGGCTCCACCCTAGTTTTACCCCTCCAGATGTACCTCACCTCCACAGTGGTGGGCGCCAGCCTGAGGGAGGTGGGTATCAGGAGCCTGCAGGCAGGGAGTCGGGGGGAGGGAGAGAGATTTATTTAAAAAAAAAAATGGATCAAGACTGCTTGTAAGACTGGCCTCCTGCCAGTACTCAGTTCTCCTTAGCTGTGACCAAGGAACTGGCTGGTCTCCACTGTGTTAAGAATTAGCCAGGGTGTTAAGGGTTAATGTTCTTGTTGCTCACTATCTCTGGGGAGGGACGGGGACACTTTAAATAAAAAAAAAACAAAACGGGTTCACTCTCATTTTGTTTCTGGCCCAGCCTGGTGTAATGGGCTCCTGGCCAGGCCCAGGGCTCCCTGTGACTCTTTAGTTTCCAGTTAATTAAAACCACCGAGTAAATGTTCCTTTGGAAGCTTCACCTGGCCCTGCCAACCCCTCCCGACCTGCACTGCCTCGCAAGCCAGTCACGGAGCATCCCTCTTTTTCAGCCTGTATTACTTTAAAGTACATTCATTCCTGAGACGCCCGTGGCTGGTGGATGCTCCTGTGAACGATATGGGGCCTGGTCCATTGAAACAGGTGGCAAAGCTACCGTTGGCTTCAATTGGCTTTGCACCCGCCCTGTGGTGCCTGTTCTCTCATTGCTGGCGGTGGGCACCCTGTCTCTCGTTAGTGCAGCGTTAACCCTTTGGAGGCTGCCCATCTAGATACCTATTTCTGCTCCCCCTCCCTCCCACCAGGAAAGCCTGGTGTCCGGAGGGTTAAAAAGACTTGTCCATCCTTCAACATCTCTTATGCCCTTAGTTGGGGTGCTCATGCCCCTTGAGAGCAAATTAGCAGCATCACTCTTGTTTGAGTACTTCACGGCTACAGTCTCCTCCCCCACCACCACCATCCTGCTTCAGATATTTCCACTAGCCAGGGGTTGCAGAACTGGTAGGCAGGGGGGCTAGAGCCCCTGCAATGGAAATATTGTGGGGGCGCTGTCCCTGCATCAGCTTGCACATGCCCAGGTGCAGGGGGCGGGGAGGTTGCAGAGGCGAGAGCTGAACCCAGAGGGGCTAGAGTGGCTGCGTCAGGGCCTGGGACCTGGGACCTAGCAGAGCTGAAATGGAAGCCCCTGGACTGTCCTTCCAAGCCTGGAGCTGGCTGCCCACTCCCACCCCTGGCCAAGTCTCAGTACCTCCCCTTACTCCTCCTTCTATTCCTCTGTCCCCCTCCCCCAATTGCAGGGAGCTTCCGCCCTCCTGCCTCTAACTGGGGGCCGCAGCCTCCTCTGTAAACATCCCAAGTTGCTGCTGTGCCAGGGAGCCCGGAGGGCGTGCCAGCTGACTGAAAGAGGCTTCTGAGCTTTCTAACTCTGTGTGCTCTGTCCCCCAGCCTGGCTGCAGCTCGGTATCCATGTTGGTTTTTCAGAGAAGACGCTGTAAATGAGGGTGAATCGTCCGAGCTGGCCCTGGCTGTGGGTTTTGCCTCCAGATCCCAACTTCCCCCCAACTTCAATTTGACACCATGTGAAATTACGTCTGACAAAGCCAAGATCTGTTGGCCTTCAGGGTGCCTCTGTTCTCCCGCACTTTCCTTAAGGGAGGGGGAGTTGATGGGAGGAGACTTCCCTTTGGTTTGGGAGCGTGGGCTTGTCTACACGGTGAGAAAGCACAGAATAGTTAGTGTGCACCCCAGCCACTCCGCACTAACTCCCTGTGTGGACACTCTTACTCTGCACTAACAGAGCCTTGGTGCACATCAGCTTAATACACTTCCAGAGTGCCCAGTCAGTGTGTCCACATGAGGATCTAGCACAAGGTAGCTATTGTGCTGTAAAATCACACCGTGGCTTAGCGCGCGCTAGCTGCTCCGTGCAGACAAGCCCTGCATGTGGGCTTGCATGTGTTGAATATTGATCCGCTTGTATCTCACAATTCCAAAGCAGCCTGCAGTGTTGAAGACACAAGTCCAGTAAACCGAAGTAAATATGGATTCCGTGCAAAGACGCTGCATTAAAAGAGCACTTACGTTTGCAGAGCAAAGCACTAAAAATAAATCTGGGAATGTCCAAGTTCAGGTTTCCTGCACAACCATTATTATTGATTTGTATCATCCTAGCACCTCGGAGCCCCAGTCCAGGACCAGGAGTCAGGACCCCATTGTGCTAGGCACCGTGCAAACATAGAATGAAAAGAGGGTCCCTGCCCCAAAGAGCTTACAGTCTAAGACAAGTGACTGCAGGTTGATACAGGCCGGCAGGGGAGCATAAGGGAACACTGAGACATAACTTGAACTTCACCCCTTTGGGCTTATGATGGGTTTTAATGACAGGATCGCATCCTGTTACCTCTGCTGGACCCAGGGCTCGTTCAGCGTGCTGGCTGGCTGGTACACACTGTTGTAAGCCTTTTATAGCTTGGTGGAATCAAAATGCATTTTCACTGGACCCCTAAAAGGCAAATGGGACCGTCTCCATCCTTGAACTATTAGGTTTCTGCCCTTTCCCACTGAGAGATTAGCTGGGGGAAGGCTGCAGCAGCTTTATAACAAAAAACATTCCCTGCGTTCAAAAATGGCTGAAGAAGTTTTGCCCAATTTTTATTTCAGTTCCCCTTCAGATACAGAGGAGACCTGGAGAGGTGCAGCCCTGTTACGTGAAAGTTGGACAAAATTATCATAGCCGTAAGAGGCCTATTAGAATGTCAGTGTTTTGGCAACCTTAATGCTGGCCTTACCTAACGTGCTTCAGCTTGTAATAATTGCAGCTGCTCTGAAAGGATCCAGCCTCCAGGCCCCTTTTCTCGGTTTCTCATTACTGACATGGCATTTAGTTTGCGCAGTTGGAATTGGCGCTGATGTGGGTAACCCCAGAACCGACACGTGCTGATGATTTCCTTTGCTTAGAACTTGCCTCTCCTCTTCTCTTTCAGGAAGGATACTTGTCAAACCCGAGGAGGTGGTGGGAAAACTACCCTCATGTTTTTCTCCCGTAAGCGCTCTGTTCTTCAGCTGACTGCTTCCTTCCTCTTTTTAGGTTAATGTCAGGATGTGGCATGGGAGTCAGTGCCATGTGACTAGGCAGCATTTACCTTGCTGTGTATTTTCAAAGCACTGTACAAAGGATCCCACAGCCCCTTCCCATGCTGGGTTTGCCAGTAAACCCTGATTTCTACAAAGGTCTTAAGGAACATTTGAAATCTTAATACAAATTCAGGAGGTGTCGGGAGGCATTGTGTGATCGGGCACTTCAGAGCATGTCTCCCCTTGTGGCCTGGGACTCGAGAGTCCTGAATTTGGTTCCGAGCTCCCAGTGACTTTGGGCAAGTCACTTAACCTCTCTGTGCCTCAGTTTCCCATCTGTAAAATGAGGGATGATAATTCTCCCCTTCTTGCAGGGATGCTGTAATGGTGAACTTGGGAAGGTTTGTGAGGCTGGGGGATATATAAGTACCCAGACAGAAAGAGGGAGCTCCAGTCAGTGTATAGCCAATGTTTGGGAACCATGGGTTCAGAAATTCAGGAGTGATCTGTCCCCTTATTAGGATGCTAATGGGGGCAGAGAAGTTGGGACTTGCCCAACCAATCAGCGGCAGAGCTGGGGTTAGAAGTTAGGAGGTTCCTGGCTCCCACTCCCATGCTAAATCCCCAGGAGGAGCTCAGTGGGGTTAGGAGCTGGATGCAGGAATCCCTGGGTGGAATTTGCTGGCCTGTGTTACGCAGGAGATCAGCCTAGGAGGTGACCACAGTTCTCCTCCTGGCCTTGAAAACTGTGACTCTAGATCATTCTGGCCCAGGAATCCTGGATCCCATGAATGATTAAACTTATATTTGGCCCCTCCTTCCCATGTGCGCACTCCCCTGAATGCTAGTGGGTAACTGGATCCTAGTGTAGGTGCAAAACAGTAGGGAGAGGAGTGCTCTGTGGTGCCCCGGGCAGCGCAAAGGGAATTCTAGCACCCGCATGCCAAATCCAGAATGAGTCTGAGTCTGCCAGGCCTCCCAGCAAACACACAATGTTGCATTTTGGTTGCTGTCAAATTCTCCTTCTCTCTTTTCCCTCCCATTCCTTGGGTGCCATATCTATTAGCTCTTGAAAAGCAGTAACCCCTTGACGACTTTGTCTAAGGCCCTAGGCCAGTACCTCTTTCCCAGTCCTCAAATAAGAGATTAAAAAACTAGCCCAAACCTGACCTTCATCCCCCAGACTGTTTGGGAATGGCTGCTCCCTGCAGGTTCTCTGGCTTTCCCGAGGCTTCCTCTTTCCAGGAAAAGTCCACAGGGGACAGACCTCCCGCTGAGTTAATGGGTGTAGTAGATCAGGCAGTCTTCCCCCCTTGGCTGGGACTGGGGTAGCTGGTTTGATTTCCAGGGGTCAGATCAGGGCATGTGCTTTCTGCTCAGAGGAATTCTCCCCGCAACTCTCAAAGGGGTGATGCCCCATCCCAGTCCACAGTATGGGGAATATTTACACACATGGAACTTCCAGTCTGGAGCTGGGTTTGCCCGCCAAGCTTTCACCTGTCCTGTCCTTGCATTTCAGGTTCCAGGTGAAGTTTTTCTACCTTTGCCAGCTGGCCTACTGGCTGCATGCCCTGCCTGAGCTATACTTCCAGAAGGTGCGCAAGGTGAGTGCTGGACAGGCCACGCTGCAGGCTTTGCAAAGGCTGCCTCATCTGGTGGAACCACTGGCCAGCGGATTTGCAGTAGCTTTAAGAAGCAAAATGCCAGACTGCATACATGGAACTTGGGGAGAAGTGCAAGGCTGGGGAAGGTACAGCTGCTGCATGTTCCCCTTACACTGAGAGCGAGCTTGGAAGCTGCTTTCTCTCAGCTTGCATAGGTGCCCTGGCCACCATGTTGCCTTTACACTTGGCCAATTAGGTGGAATATTCATGGCCACAGGATGACGTTGCATGTACCACCGGGAGCGCTCCACAAATCTTGGCGGAGCAGGGAAAGCCCTAGACTTACCTCCGTGCTTCGCTGCTCCATTGCGTGTGCTCATTCAGATTTCCAAGTGAGGAAGGTTGAACTTACTGTTAAATCTTTGTTCCTTTGCCAGGAGGAGATTCCTCGTCACCTGCGGTACATCAGCCTGTACCTGATGCATATAGCTGGAGCATACCTCTTAAAGTGAGTGCAGTGGAGTTCGCTTTATGGGGCCTGTGAATAATGATGGCAAAATCCTGGTTTCCGGAGGGCGGGTGCTCAGTATTTGCTGAGGGGTGGGCAGCCAAAATCGCTAGTCCCTGTGAAAATCTTGGCCGACGCATTGAGACTTGAGTAAAGGGGGGGGGAGTGATTTAAAAACCAACAATAAATGCAACAAATGATTAGCCTGTGGAACTCCCAGCTACAGTATGTTACTGAAGCCAACAGTTTCCAAATAGGAGAATAGCTACTTTTAGGAAAGAAGATATTGTCTAGTCACATCAGCTAGGATGGATGACATGCCGGCACCTAATACTTTCAGAGCATCGTACAACGCAAACCTCTGCGAGTGCTTCTCAGTCTCAGGCTGGAAGATGTGATCCCCTTTTTGGTGTCAGGAAAATTTTCTCCCGGGGTTGTTATTGCAGTTAGAACAAATACGTTCTAAAGACTTTCATACGCCATCCGGTGAAGCACGCAGCCTATGTGAGAGGCAGCAGGGTCCAGTGACTAGTGCGCTGGACTACAATACAAGAGACCTTGGCTTCTGTTCCTGGCTCTGCTCGGTGATAGTGGGCTCTGTGCCTTGGTTTCCCCTTAAACCATGTCAAGTCTATTTCGATTGTAACACATGCCTGCCCCAGACAGGTATGTCCAAGGCCCAGCACAACGGGGTTTTGATTTTGATTTGAAGCACATAGTCCGCAGAACAAACATGAAGTAGGAGTAATAAGGTAGGTGGCTGACTGGAGCTCAGGTCTGTTCCAATATGGCAATGCCTGTGTCTTCTCTCTCTAGCCTAACCCGCCTGGGGCTTGTCCTCTTGCTGCTGCAGTACTTCGCTGAATTCCTCTTCCACATGGCCCGTCTATTCTACTTCACAGATGAGAACAACGAGAAGCTGTAAGTACACCGAGCTGAGAGGAGCGATTCTCCCCTTGCCGGCCAGAACTGTCATGCAATGGAGTCTAGGGGGAAGTCTGTCTTCCTTCTCCAGAACGGATCTGCAAGGGGTCTCTCATCTTGGAGGTCGGGGGAAGGAGACTAGGGGGAGCAGGGGAGTCTGTCTTCCTTCTCCAGAACGGATCTGCAAGAGAGCTCTCACCTTGGGGGTGGGGAGAGGGGTCACGGGTGCTGCAGTTCCTGACTAGCCTGTTGGCAGTGGGCAGGAAGATCTCCACAGCACAAGTACAAAGAGGGCACTTGAGGCCGGATTAACTCCCAGGCTTGATTCAGTAAGCATAAGAACCCCTGATCAGTGCAGCCTGTGAAGGGCCTGAGACCTTGTGTAGTCATGTACGGCGGTGCAAAGTTGGAGAGGCGGTGTGGTCTAGTGGATAGAGCACTGGCCTGGGAATCAGGAGACCTGGGTTCTATTCCTAGCTCTGCTGCTGGCCTTCAGTGAGATATTGGGCCAGTCTCATCTTCTCTCTGTGCTTCTGTTTACCCTCCCACCCTTTGTCTTTTTTGTTTAAACTCGTCAAAACTATCCCTCGCTAGGTGTATGCGCAGAGCTAGCGCAGCAGGCTGCTTTCCTAACACAAAGCCTAATGGATATAAAAAGATACTGGAATGGTGGTGACGTTATATGCTCCTGTTGCAGTGGGCTGCATGACCACACACAACAGAGGGCATAAGAGAATTGGACCTGAAATCCCCCCGGGCCTGAAATTCACTCGTGCCAACTGTGCACAAATGTGCCAGGAGACTCTCTGCGCATGCACAAAGTGGTGTGCTCTGGAGTGGAAGGTTGACAGCCCTGGAGACTTAAATCCTGTTCAGCACAGGCGCCAGCCAACCTGCCTCCCACGTGACTCGGCAGGGCCATCTCACGCGTGGCCTGTTCCGGCAACGGCACCCTTGCTGAGGCTGCAGGAAGGGGGCCAGCTGTGACAGTTGCATAGCACTCCTAGGCTGAAATAACCCCTCCTCCCCCAAAGTTCAACCCTGTTAAAAGTGGGTCCCCATGAACAACATGCTGCTCCTGGGCATGTTGAGGCAGTTTCCTGGCCTGAATGTCTGCGACTCGCGACTCCTGCTGCCCTTCCGGGTAGGCTGGCTGTGCGCCCCCACTGCGGATGGAGGCTCATCCCAGTGACGCTGCTGTTGGAATTCACACAGGTTTAATGCCTGGGCAGTGGTGTTCGTGGTCACCCGGCTCTTCACCCTCACCCTTTCTGTGCTGGTTGTTGGCTTTGGGCTGGCTCGGGTGGAGAACCAGGCGTTCGACCCAGAGAAAGGAAACTTCAACACTCTGCTTTCCAGGTAAGACGTGGCCATGTGCTGCTCCATCGGCTTCCTGCCCGTAGGCTGAAATGGTCTGCCGGATTGCTTAACGCATGCTCATGTAGTCAGGAAGGGGACTGATGAAAGCAGTAGTGATGCCCGTGTTCAGGTTCTCTACCCATCCACTCCCACTCGGCTCCCAAGGGCCAGACCTGCAAAGTCAGAGGGGTCTGAAAATCCAACTGTCTTCTGCTTGGAACTTCTCCCGTACCGAGGGCTCTGTAGATGCAGCATAGTGCTAGGCGCGCAAGCTGGGTGCTAGGCTGTCTTGAGGCTCAGCAAAATTGTCTGTGAACTGTAGCGTGAAGAAAAGAAAAATCCTTGTTTGCTCAGTAAAGAGACCAGATACGAAGAGAGCCTCCAAGCAGATCTGTCATGTAAGGAGGTGCACTTAGTACAATCCCTTTTCTAGCCATAACTGCAATTTAAGGGACCTGGTCAACATAAATCATACTTCTGTCTGGCTGTGTCCTCCCTCCTGTTGTCAGAGGAGCCTAGGGACGTGGCAGGCGTGATTGTACCTAAGCAAAAACTGGCAGTGGGACTCAGGGCAGGGCTGGTACCTGGAACAACTATTCCCTCCCCTCAGGTGTCCTCACAGAACTGGTCTGTGGGCTCTGGAGAGCACCAGTCTCTGTAGATCGCTGTGGTCTTTGGGTATGAAGGCCATTTACTAGCTGGCTTGGTTGGGTTTGGAAGTGGCTCCATGGCCCCTGGCTTCGGCCTCTCTGCTCCATTCTCAGCCTGCCTCTTCTCTGCCCCCTCCCACCCCCCAGGATGGGCGTGCTGTCCCTGGTGTGCCTCTCCCAGGCCTGGATGATGTGGCACTTCATCCACTTCCAGCTGCGGCGCTGGCGGGAGTACTGGAATGAGCAGAGCGCCAGGCAGAGAGCTGCCACCCTCACCAAACAGCAGTCCAAGCCCGTCAAGAGGGAGTCGGGTAAGTGCCAAGGCCGGGTGCTGAGAGCAGGGCCGTGTGTGGCTGAGCTGGGGGCAAGATGTAAGGGCCCAGGATGCTGTTGGGTCCCTTCCTCTGCTGCAGAGGGATCAGCAATGGCCAGGAGCCATCAGGGCCCCAGCTCTGTCCTAGGGTTGCCAACTTTCTGTTAGCAGAAAACCGAACACCTTTGCCCCGCCCCCTGAGGCTCCGCCCCTACCCCGCCCCTTCTCCAAAGCCCCACCCCCATTTACTCCATCCCCCCTTCCTCCGTCACTCGCTCTCCCCCACCCTCCCTCACTCATTTTCACTGGGCTGAGGCAGAGGGTTGGGCTGCGGTGGAGCTGAGGGCTCCGGCTGGGGCTATGGACTCCGGGGTGCGGCCAGAAATGAGGGGTTTGAAGTGCAGGAGGGGGCTCAGGGCTGGGGCAGAGGTTGGGGCTCAGGAGAGGGTTTGGCGTGCAGGCTCTGAGCAGCGCTTACCTCAGGTGGCTTCCGGGAAGCGGCCAGCATGCCCCTCCAGCTCCTCGGCACAGGGCAGGGTTGGCCACGGGGGCTCAGTGTGCCGCCCCCACCTGCAGGTGCCATTGGCCATGGTTCCCAGCCAGTGGGAGCTGCGGAGCTGGTGCTTGGGGAGGGGTAGCGCGTTGAGCCCCCGTGGCTGCCCTTGAGCCTAGGGGCTGCAGGGACCTGACCGCCACTTCTGGGAGCTGTGCGGAACCAGGACAGGCACGGAATCATAGACTTTAGACTTTAAGGTCAGAAGGGACCATTATGATCGTCTAGTCTGACCTCCTGCACAACGCAGGCCACAGAATCTCACTCACCCACTCCTGTAACAAATCCCTAACCTATCTCTGAGCTAATAAAGTCCTCAAATCATGGTTTAAAGACTTCAAGGTACAGAGAATCCTCCAGTAAGTGACCTGTGTCCCACGCTGCAGAGGAAGGTGAAAAACCCCCAGGGCCTCTTCCAATCTGCCCTGAAGGAAAATTCTTTCCTGACCCCAAATATAGCAGTCAGCTAAACCCTGAGCATGTGGCCAAGACTCACTAGCCAGACACCCAAGAATGAATTCTCTGTAGTAACTCAGATTCCACCCCATCTAACATCCCATCACAGGCCATAGGGCATATTTATCGCTAATAGTCAAAGATCAATTAATTGCCAGAATTAGGCTATCCCATCATACCATCCCCTCCATAAACTTATCAAGCTTAGTCTTGAAGTCAGATATGTCTTTTGCCCCCATTGCTCCCCTTGGAAGGCTGTTCCAGAACTTCACTCCTTTGATGGTTAGAAACCTTCATCTAATTTCAAGTCTAAACTTCCTGATGGCCAGTTTATATCCATTTGTTCTTGCGTCCAAGAGCCTGTCTTAGTCCCGCTGCGCTACCAACTGGACTTTTAACAGCCCGCTCAGCAGCCACCAGGGTCCCTTTTTGACCAGGTGTTCCAGTTGAAAACCGGATGCCTGGCGACCCTACTCTGTCCCCTCCAGCAGTGTAGTGCCCCGAAGGCGGTGCTGGGGCTTTGCTCAGGAGCGACAGTGTTCCATGAAGCAACCCGAGCCCGTGGATCTGGTGGGACCAGGACACAAGGGGGAAGGGCTGCAGGGTGCTGACGTTCCTCTGCAATTCTGCATGAGCCCAAGCGGAGGAAGCTGAGATGACAGTTCTTACCCTTTGCGCTGAATTGGCACTAAGCCCACTCACCCCCTTGAAGCCAATGAGGCCCCAGTCGAGTGTCCCTAACTCGCTGCGCTCCCCTGTCCCCAGGTTACCATGAAAACGGAGTGGTGAAAGCTGAGAACGGAACCTCCCCACGCACCAAGAAGCTCAAGTCTCCATAGAGCTGAAGGCTCGTCTGCTGGGGAGGAGGGCGAGAGACCAGGACTAAGCACCAGCCCCTCCCTCGGCCTCCCAGGTGCTGAATGGCTTGGAAACCTCTCAGTCTTCCCAAGGTCTCTCCCCCTCCCCCCCTCCCCAAACCATTTGCAATAAAACCAAAAAACCTTGCTCCGTCGCACGGCCTGCAGGAGCCAGAACCAAACCTCCCGTCCTCTCCTTCCGCTCAGTTCTATCGTCAATCAGCATGCAATTTTCTCCCCTCCCCGCCCCCTTCTTGAGTGTTTTTTCTTCCTGTTGTGTTTTTGTTACAAATGCACCATGGGATGGTTCCAAGCAAACCACCCCTTTTCTAAAGCAGGTTCTTCCCCTGCCCTTTTGGCATTTCCCTACATCCTGGGCTCGGAGGGGCAGGCGGGTGCTTGAAGGTGCCCTGTGACCATGCGGATAGAGGTTTGGGGAGCTGGGGAAGCCATGCCCTGTGTGCAGAGCACCTCTCGGCATCGGGGTGGTGTCCTTGGAGGGGGGGTGCCACTGCTCGAGTTCTTGGGTGAACTGCAGAGCAGCCTTGCATCCAGCACGCCCAGCGGAATTGCAGAGGCGGGCCAGGTCTGGCTTGGGCCTGTTGCATTAGGGCACAGGGTGGTGACCTCAGACGTGCTTTGCATCATGCTGGAGCTCCAGCATGTGGGATCCCTAGCAGTCTGCGGCAGGACATGAGCTCTTAGGCCTGTTCTGCCCACCTCCCTCCCTCTCCTAGGTGCGGTGATTCGGCTCTGCCTCTGCCCTGCAATTCCTAGTGCCTTACTTGGGATGATGTCACCCAAGGAGTCGCTCAGGCCAAACTCAGTTGAAGATGTGTAAGCCCTGGAGGTGAGGCCTCCACCAGCCCTGGTCCCACACCTCGCTTCTCCTTACCTCACCCAAGTGCTGGCTTAATCCTGTGGCGTTGTGGTCACGTAGCACTCGCTGCGTGCCAGAGAGCAGACTCCCTGCCACTCAGAGTTTATCTGTAACAGGGCCTTTCACCTCATGCCTCACCACTGCCCTTGCCATCCCAGACCAGCTATGGCCTCTCCCTTCCGGCTGCAGCTGCCAGCTTCTGTCTTTCTGCTTCACAGGCCTCGCATCCCCTGAGGGGTTTGGTTAATCTGGGATCCAGCCCATGCATCCCTTCCTGGGCTGGGTGGGAATAGCAGAGAGCAGCCTGTGGGAGTGCCTCTTGCCCGATCCATGCCACCCTCCTCCCTGGCTGGTGGATGGAATTGTCTCAAATCTACCTCAGAGGCCGCCTCTTTCATACAACCACTCTCCCTCAACCCCTCGTTGGCTGCGTATGTTGGGAGGAGATGTGGGGGAATTGTTTGAGCACTCATTGATTCTGTCCACTGCCCAGGAACAGCATCCCCTGCCCTCTTCCGGGTGGCTGGAGCTGTCCCACTTGCAGGGCTCTTCCAGTGCCATGTGCTGGTCAAGACTGGCCAGGCAGCCAGGCAGCAGAGGGTATTTCTCTCTGTGGAAGGTCCCCGTAAGCCAGACTTTGCAGTGGGCATGTTGCAATGCATTGAGGTGACTTGGCGCTTCACTGGGGTGGGAGCTTCCCTCTTGGCAAAGCTGGCTCAGCTGCACTTGCTGCGGCTGCCCGGAGGGGTAGCATTTCCCTTTGGCTGAGCAGGGAGAGGGTGTCGCTGCTCCCAAAGGGGCAGCGGGAGAGGCAGGCAGGGAGTAGCAGGGATGAAGTGTCATGGAATCACTTCTCATGCAGATCGGGATCAGGGTTCTTCCTTCTTAGCTGGGGTGAGTGACACGGGCCAGAATAAACCATACCGGATGTTCCTGGCTTGTTTCATGCTCCTCCCTGTGGCCTTCCTTACTGGAGGCGATTGTAATTCATGCTCTCCGGCCTTTTGTTTTTTGGGGTGGTGAGAGGAACTGGCTGCCCATGCTGCTTTCACAGATGTTGAGTCCTCTCCACGCCTGTTCTGGCTCCTGCACTGGAAGCCCCTGCCTGTGCTGGGGAGAGAATACCTGGGAGCCTGAATGTAGCTGGTCAGATTCCATTCCTTCCCCCCATCCCCCTAGGAGCTTTGAATGTCAAAGGAGGGCCACTAGCTGGCATCTCCCAGGGATCTTCCTCCTGCTCCCCCAATATCTTGGAGCAGAGCACCAGGGAATACCTTGTGACTGTCCTTCCTTAGCCCTGGCTGGACAGATGCATAGCAAAGCCAGCACTTGGGTGAAGGAGCAGCGGGACCAGGCGGGAAAGGACTGTTATGCCAGTGAGAGAGCGAGAGCTGGGACACAAGCTCTTGGCCCCTGGGCCTAGCACAGTTCACCCTTCCATCCCTCTCCCCTTTCCCGTCCGCTCCCAGCCAGGAGGGGATCGCTGAGCCCTGCAGGGAGTGACTGCTCCCCAAATCTCTCTAGAGCCGGAGCTGGCCTTGCTCCTCTGACATTAGCGACTTAACTGCAGACGAGGAGCTGAGACTCCCGGTTAAAAGGTGGCTAGTTGTCAGATCCAAATAAACCAGGCTGCTGAATGATTTCCCCCACCCCGCCCTGCTCCAGGCAGCCTTTCCTCTGGCACAAGCCTGCAAGGCCGTGAAGTAGCTCATTGTTCTCTATATACCAAGTGCCTTACATTGCGGTATAGTCTGTACTCTCTTGCCTATGCGCTGCCTCAATAACTCCGTGCCCTCAGGCTCTGTGTATCTGTATGATGCGTGTTCCATATTTAGAGTCACTGGGGAAAGGGACCGTTCCCGCTGGAAGTCGCCCCTCATTTTCTGTGCCTTTTCGGTTTGTAGGATGGTTCCTTCCTCCATGGCTAAAATCCCCTCCCCTTTTTCTGCCTAGATCGGTCGGCCTCTGCAGTGACGCCCACGGGCTGCCATTTCGCAGGCATCGCTGGGGTCATTTGTGGCTGGAGGGGCTCCCATCCCATCCCTCCCAATGCAGACGCTCTTGCTCCTCTCTGCTCCAGTGCACGTACTGTCCCTGGCTCTGCAGTCGCTGGTGCAGCTCTCCTTGCGTTTCCTAGCAAACCAAAACTTCCTCTCTATCCTGGAGAACCATCTCCTCGTAGAGATGGATTATTTTCTTTTCCAGTCTCTAGGGTTAACTCTTTCATCGACCCATCCACATACAAAGGTGCAGAGAGCATGGGGAAGGGGAGACCCACTTCTCGAATGGGTCCCCTTTTTGGGCCCCATCCCACAAAGTGCTGCGTATCTTCTGCAACGGTTTGAGTGTCCCCATCTGCTAGAAGGCTGAGGGCACTCGGGATCATGCAGAATTGGGCCCTGGGTCCCAGATTCAGTGTTATAGCACCGCTGGTTGTGCAATAACCCGCCTGGATCGTGGTCACTCCAGTAGTGCCTGCATCCGTCACCAAACCCTGGGAGGGGAGGGCCCCTGAGATGAGGTCAAGTTGTGATAATTGCGTGGAGCACAGAACGCCTCCTAACCTGGGCTGTGGCAAAGTCTCTTAAGAACCAGCAGTTCTTCTCCCTCTCTCCTTGTCCCAGATGGATCTTAGAGGGGTGGATGTCGGGGAGAATGTAGCATTTTGCAGATCAATATCTTTTTAAAAGTTTGTTGAATGAATCTCCCTTGCTCAACAGGGCATTAAAGTTTGTATTTTTGTAGGATGATTTTTTCCTACCTATCATGCACAGGTGTAGCAAATAAGGGAAGGGTTTCTCCCTGGTTTTTATATTAAGTGGAGGATGGTCTTTCTTCAGAACTAGACATGAAATCTGTAGAGGGGTGGTCTTCATTCCAGTGGACTGGAGTTACAGCTACATCTGACTATGGAGTCCAGTCAATGGAAGCTGACTTCTGTCTACAGTTGATAGCGTCTACAGCTGTCTAATTGTGCAGTATAGCAGTTCCTTTTTGTGACCTTTGAGTGCATAACATGTGGCTCGAGTTGGCAGTCTTTATATTGACGCTGTCATCTGGGTCACTCATCTCCCTATGTCATGTGTACTTCTTGCCAGAGGGAGGGATGGACACAAGACACAAAGTTTGGGTGGGTGCTCGTATCTGTCTTTTTAACATGTTTAATTCTCTGGACCAAACTTCAACAAAGAAACTCAAGGAAAATTCTGTTCTTCCATATTTATGCTTTAGTGCAAACATTCTCTTCCTTTGTTATGTATTTTAATTTGTTTTGGTTTGGGGGGGTTGATTTTTTGGATAACCTCTTCAACTCCCCATCACCACCATATGTTTTTATTCTTCCCCTGACATTTAAAAAATAACCAATTTTGTACGGAATTTTTTTCATTAAATGGCTTTTGTGAACAAACTCTCAACAAAGATATTTTCTGAAATAATAAAAGGCATAGAATCATCAAGTGGTGCTTAACACTGGTGTGTGTGTTTCCTCAATTTGCGAATACCTCGTTGCTATGACTAGCTATTCTAGTGTTCCCAAAGCATGACAGGACGGACCCACCAGGTATGGCAGAGAGAGGTGCAATCTGCTCCATTTGGTGTTTGATCTATCTTTGTCATAGACAACACATCTGAAGGTGGCTGGCTCTTTCCATGGCTTGGACCTGTTCCATGGTTTGGGTGCAGGCAGCGTATAGGGGAAGTGATTCCTACCCAATGTGCTGAGAACGCAAGTGGATTCTGAAGGCAATTCTGTGGCTCGATGCAGTGGCCTGTGCTAAAGGCTACTGACGTCCATGGAAAGACTCAGTGATTACGACAGGCTGGGGATCGGGCTGCAGCTCTGAACCTACTGGTGAGGAGGCCTGGAAGCAGGTTCTTGAAGCTGAGGAGCAGCAGAGTGGTGGCCTTATCGATGCTCTGAATAAGGAACGGCACGGATAGGCTCTCGCCTTCTGGGGCTAACCTAGAGGATGGGAGCTGGTGTGTGGCTGTGTGTTGAGATTCTCGAGTATCTGTGAGGAAACGGGAACCACCCCACACACACACACCCCAAAAAGGGACGGATAAAATAAGCATTTTGCTCAGAAAGTGTGCCTAATGGTGGAGACCTGCATGGTCTCTGTCCTAGTTGCTCCTGAGGTGCACCTGGGCATCCCACTGGCACAGTTGGCTGGCTGACCTAGAGCACAATGGGGGTGGGTGGGTCTGTGGCAGCTTTCTTCATGTAAGGGCGAGCGACCAGACTTTTTAAACAAGGTGAGAGTGCTATAGACTCACCCTGACCATCTGTCTCTCTTCACTGTAGGGAAACACAGCACTATCCAGGCAATAGCCAACACTTCCTCATGGGACCAGCATTTCTAGTAGGGCAACTAAATTGAGAGAATATCCAGTGTGTGTGTGTGGGGAGCAGGGGGGATATGTATCCAAATCCATTCTCCGTGACGGGGGGCACGTTATTTAATCAGCTCTAAATCTGTTCCCCCGTGTGTTAAAATGGGGATAACAATACCTCCTTTCAGATACTGTAGCACCTCGCACAATGGGGTCCTGCTCCATGGCTGGGGCCTTTAGGCCCTTCTGCAGCAAAATAATAAATTAAAAGGGTACCCAGTTGTGTTTTGCTTAGTTAGTCCTCCGCGGGCGGTCTGTATGAAAGGCCTGGAGCTCTCAGTCCATCCAGTCCACCCCGTCCCAGTCCACCCCATCAGAGCCCAGGAAGAGACAACCTGGAACGATGTGGAGTTATTTCTTTAATACAAATGAAGCTTTTTCTACAGGCTCTGCTTACAGGCCCCGCATTTGGGACATTGAGCTACGTGAGGCAGGAAGGAAAGTGGGGCAGAGATGAGGTGAGCTGGTGCCAAAGGGATGAGCAGCGCTAAATGAAGCGATGGGGGGGGGGGGTCTAAAGGTACAACATTTGAATATGTGTCATTTCAGCTGGGACCATCTTGGCTGGTTTGTGTCTCACCTTCTGGGGGCAGCTCAGCAGGAGAAAGCTCTGATGAAGTCATGGTAATTGATCTTGTTCTCCCCATGTGAACACAGGCTGATCAGCTGGAAAAGAAACGACAGCATGAGGAGAGCAGAGAAGTACAGTCACATTTCTCTAAAGGGTAACTCCAGTGAGCAGCTCCTGTGGGACAGGACAAAGGGCCCCGTTCTTCCCTATAGGGGAGCAACCCACCTACAGGAGAGGAAAACTTTCCCTTATAATAGCCCCATTCACTCAGGAGTAACCTGCCCCATGAAGTTTCAACCCAGCATCCTCCTCATTCTAGCAGGAAGAAGCCAAATGTTCCCCGCCCTTTGCCTACAGACTTCAGGGGATCCACAAGAACTGAGAGGGACCCACATGGGTGCCCCTTGCTCTGTTGTCCAGACACAGCAGGTCCCACTGACAGCTCCTACGGAACTGTTTCCCTGTGGCAGCAGCTCCCAGCCACTGCCTAAAGGCAGCAGAGGGAACTGGCGTCGGCTATCTTACCATCCCTGGGAGCTTTCACGGGGGGAAGTAGAGTTTTTAATGGTGTCTTCTCTTCAACACCTTGGGATTATCATAATTCCTTTGAAAGATTTACTCACCCTTCATCACCTCGTTTGCACGGTCACTTGTGTGATGGATGCATATTTGGTTAATTATTTCTGTTTTGGAGGTAAGAATTAGCTGCTGCTGCTCGGTGCCTATTTTTAGCCTGTGGCTCTGGTATCTAGACTAGGGATCTAGGCACTTTATGTATTACACAGCTAGACTGGAGGGGCGGTCCTGGGGCTAAGGCCCTGGCTTGGGACTCAAAGCTGGGTTTAATTCCTGGCCTTGGCCGGGGTGACCTGGGGCATGTTAGTTAATCTGCTCTGAATCTCAGTTCCCCCATGTGTTAAAATGGGGATAACAATCCCTCCTTTCTCCCATTATATCGGGTATGGTAGGAAGAGTCTCCTGCAGAATCTAATGCAGCAGGGCCCTGGTGATGAAATAACCTTGTTGCCTTTGTAATACCAAAGAAACAAGTCTTGCTCAAATGCATTGTTTTAAATCGGCTTGATCCCTTGGCTACCATCCAGTCTAATTTTTGCTAATTTTATTAAGAAAATGGGGGACATAGTCCCCAGGTTTTATACATTTCTTCAGATGGAGAAGTTTTCTGCACTTACAACTCTAACAGTTTATACTGAGGAAACCCAAGTTACCATTCGTGTTCAACTATGTTTGGTTTCTTCTCTCACACACGTCGTTCTCGGTCCTGTTTCCTACAAAGCAGACTGTGATCTCTGCTGGCTTCTGCTCATGGCCCCATAGCTGTATTGCCATTGACCCTTATTAGCTAAGCCCATAAGGTTATCCAGCCTTAGCGAAAGCCTGAGGTGGAGATGGTGGAGATGCCATGCAGGCTTGGGCTTACTGTACCTTCTCGGCAATTCAGCTGGGATGTGGTACGCAAAGGCAATTGGTGATCAGAAGCTGCCCTGCAGGAAGCATGACTGTGGTGCCCACGACAACATAACCGTGGAGGAAGGCTAGTTACTTGGCTACCAGTGCTATCTTGGGGCCTACATGGAATTGGATTCCCACCTCCATCCCCCGGCTTCTGTTTAACCCACACAGGGGTGATGTGGTTTTCACCTCAGGGTTTGAAGGAATTTCTCCCACCTCTTGCTAGTCCCACTGCCAGACTGTATGTGTGGGTCTCCTCTGCCTCTGGGGCCCTGAGCAGGAATGCTCCAGGAGGAGGGGGGATAGCACACAGTCTAGTTCATGGCATTGCCCGGGGATGGGGCACTGCCAGCAATGGGGCTTGGCTGCCTTCTGGAAATGGACAGGGCAGCTCCTTTGGAAGAGCTGAGGCAAGCGAGAGAGGACAGTGCTGTGTGCAATATTACGTGGCTCCCAGGTCAACGTTTCAGCTAAAAGCCAAACTCCGCACATGCTAACCATGCTGCCTCCTGACCTTGTTAACTAGGGCATCGCTGACCGGCAGGTTGAATCGGTTGCAGAGGGCAAAGAACTCTGCCTTCTCGAGGAATCCGGAGCCGTCCTTGTCGTGGTGAAGGAACGCCTCCCGCATGCTGCTGTTACTTAAGTAGTTATGGTACTTCAGCTGCTCTTGAACCTGCTTCACTAGCTCCTCCAGTTCCTGCCTGCCTGTCCCCGCGGCTAATTGGCTGTGGAGGAAGGAAAGGAGGAAATGACTGCATGCAGAAGTCACGCTTGACACAGCTGAGCTAAGTCCTTCTCTCATGTGTTCCATCAACTAAAATCTATGGGGGCCAGTCATGTTCCTGGGTTGGCCAGCTGTTCTTCCTGAATATATACAGGCAGTCCTTGGACTTACGACACAACTGGTTCCTGAATATCGCGTCTTAAGTCGAAAACATCGTAACTTGAATTTCCCATAGGAATGATGCTGGATCGAGCATTGTAAAGTCAAAACAGATGTCATAGTCGAAACACAATGACAATTTATAAACGTAAGGGCCGTTCATCGTAACTCCAATGTCGTAAAGTCAAGGACTGCCTGTAGTAGGCTTCTAAAGACACACTCCTTTGAATAACAAGGCCATCTGCTTGGTGGACAGGACATTGGGCTGGAAGGCAGGGGCCAAAAAGCCTCTGCCCAGCTCTGCCCCTTCCCCCTTTGCCTCTGTTTCTCTTCACTCCTTTTGTCTGTCTGGTCTATTTTGTGTAAGCTCTTTGGAGCAGGGACTGTCTCCTTCTGTGTGGTCATACAGAACCAAGTGGCCCCATTCTCAGCTGGAGCCTCTATGTACTGCCATAAAAATCAGTAGCTGGAGCCCACAACAGCTCGGTGTGGCGATGGATGCCCTCACCCCAGAGAGAGGGGAGGGGAGGTCATATAAAATAAGGCTGAACAAAGCACTAGACAATAGGGTAGGGTCCCGTCCTTCACAGGCCAAGGAATGGCCCAAATGACCTACTAGCAATGGTAAGAGAACCGTCAGGTAGGCTTCTCGTAGCCAGAGTGCGACGAGAGGCGGGTGCTGGTACTGTGAGCAGCCACTCTTACCGAGCGCCGCCATCCTCCACAGAAGAAGGATGACTTAAGTGCTCCGAAGCAGGGCTGAAGAGAAATCTTTGCTACAGGCCTCAGGGCGGCGCCAATGCTCTCTAAGGAAGATTTCAGGCTCGTGGGCTGTAGTAGCACGAGTAGCAGCAGTTCTTATATAAGCAGCCTTAGTGGTACCTTGCATACACTGAATTCCTTCTCTCTGTGCCCAAGGAGGGGTTCCCAGAGTGGAACAATCAGCTGATCAGTCATTAGCCAGCAGTGGCCAGAGTAAGAGGCTAGAGCATGGTACCACTGGTTAATGATGGTCTATGTAAGATTGCACTAGAGCGCACAGCACTAGGGCAGCTACTGCAAATAAATACTAGCCAGTTGACCAGCTAAAAGCTGAATGACTGATTAAGCCCAGCTCTCGCTGCCTCTCATGTGCTCGCCATTG